GCGGAATTGTCAGAGGGCGCACGACGTGCGGCGGAACGCGAAATGGATGAACGCGATAATTTGCTGGACGAAGATGCTTTACTTTATGAGAGGGTCAGGACTCATCTTTTTTTTGCATATATCACTAGTCTGGCGCTTTTTGTCTGTTACTGGATGTTTCGTTGGCAAAATCTAATAATGCGATGGCAGTGCTTTTCGGAAGTCCACTGATTCGGGTACGATCACCGACGCAGAGCTTTTGCAGGAAGATGAGGACATTGGACGGCGTGCGCGAATTCGACGTCGAAGAGATGAATCGGAGGGTGGGCAAATGGAAGTGGCTGGCCCCGAGGAGGAGGAGGAAATTCCCATTGATATTTTGGAAAATTTACGAGGAAGATCGACACGTCAGCATGTTTCTGATGAAGCTGTGGGTAGAGAAATTATAAGACGGTTTGTTGCTTAATGTACTAATTCATTCTGCTTCACATACACATACATACATACACACATACATACATACCACATGCATACATGCATGTGCGTATGCGCATCTAAGCAGAAATTGTTGTTGCGATGAAAGCAATGATCTACAGGAATGAAATCATCCGGAATACATGTCTTCCATTGATCTGATTTATAGTGTTGTCAGGCAGTACTGAATTAAGCTGGTGATTCGCATAATTTTTTAAGAGTTCCTTTGTGGAACACGAATGCGTTTGAACAAGAAGTTGCATTGTGGGCACTGAAATGCTAGCATTTAGATGCTTTTCTGTGACAATGGGTTTCCACACCAGACTGTTTTGTTGATCTTGGCATCGTAGAATAACTAGTGGGAGTTAGATTGTAGCATAACTTTATCACTCTCACCAACACTGATTTCGCTGCTCTGTATTAAGTGGGCCGGTTGTTCCAGCTTCAAGAGTTTCATCCGTGGTTTCAAAGATCCAAAATCTAAAAAGCTGAAATATCTCGAAGCAGTCAACTCGATGGTGGCAGAAAATCGCGAGTCGTTGGAAGTGGATTATGATGATTTGGCCAGTGAAAGTGGCGAGCAAAACATCTGTTACTTTCTGCCAGAAGCACCTCTGCAGGTGATATCAGCGTTTTCAAAAATTATCCCGTGCGCACTGATTCCCCTGATGAGGTGTTGTTTTTGCAGGTTCTTGGCTATATGGACCGCGCAGTGACCGAAGTGACTCTGTCGATCTTTCCGTTCTTTCCTCGCATCGCTCCTGAAGTTAAGGTATGGTACCTTGGTTTCGAAATTTTATCGCTTGCTGTCCCACCACTGTGTTTCTCGCCATCGGTGCTGCAACTAGTAATGTTTCCAATTTCCGTGGGTCTGTGCTTTTCACGTCAATGTGATTCTTCGGATTGGTTTGCCTGAATTTTCCTTGATTATAAGATTACGCAGTTATCTTCAAACAACTCATATTATCCGTTTGTAGTTTTCATCCGGGCTTTGTGACTAAATCGTATTAGTTTTTATTTCGGCAGCATGAAATTTTCAGGTGCGTATACGAGGGCTGCCTATTGACGAGGACATACGAATGCTCAGGCAGCTTCATCTAAATATGCTGGTTAGGACTTCTGGAGTTGTGACCATTACCACAGGTATGCATGCATAAATAATTGGCAAATGCATAGCTTGCTTCTGCAACACTAAAATTGGTGCTCATGGTCAAAGGAAATCAATGGTCACTTGCTTTCAGTTGTGAGCTGTGTCTCTTTTTCATGGGTACTGCTCACAATCGCACGGCA